ATTTGTAATTTGGTTTGAGTTTGGTAGTATTCCTCCCAACCCGTATTAAACCGAACCAAACCAAACCGAAATCATAAAACCGAATAAAACCGAACTAATCTAAAAATGAAATAATTTCTAATTTTTTTAAAATAACAAATCAAAACCAACTTACACCAAACTAAACCAAACCAAAATATAAGATTTCTCTCATTAATTTGATTGATGTTAATCTTTTTCAAGCTTTAATTCTTTATTTTAGTGTCCAGGATTAGAGTTTATTACAAGAGTTACATTCACAACTATAACAATTATAGTGGTTTAAGTAGATAATATTTAACTATAATTTATTATCTACTACTACTATATATTTGGTTCATTACTTACAAGCACCAGTTTTGTTTTTGTTTCGGCTTTATATATAATTTGATTCATTCTCGTTGTTGTTGTTGCTTACAAATGTGTCATGCTCATATATTTTTGGTTCATATGTGTTTTGTTACTGTTTGCAAATTTATATCTAACATTATATTTGGTTCATTACTATCGCTTCTTGGTTCATTATTTTGAGTTAATTTTTTTATTATTTCAATCCAAACCTTAATACTTTGGTAAACCGAACTCCAAACCGAACCGAACCTTACCAAACCGAAACTTAATCGATTTGTATTTGGTACATTTTCTATCAAACCGATTAAACCGAAACCGAACCGAAACCGAAGAAAACCGAACCGAAAACCGAAATGCCCACCCCTAATAAATTCACAAATGTTTCTGGTTTCACTCCGAACTCATGTAGAATTTGATGCGATCATATCTTGCTCTATTTTGTTCCGTTGACAGCGTTTAACTCTCGTTGGAAAGATCTTATCAAGTTCTAAAACTTGTCTTCAAGCGCTGGTTTCAAAATAAAGAGATGATTGCCTTTATTACTAGTCTACTACTCAGTATTAGTTAGCCCAAAAAGAAAAGGTGTGGGAGAGTGGGAGACGGGAGTCAAGGCGTGAAGTGAAGGGGCGAACCGGCAGTCTGGCACTGCGATCTGCGAAAGAGGAAGCGCATAGGCCAAACCGCCAAAGGGCAATATCAAGTGACTGAGCGAGACGAGCGACGAACCGACAACTCTCCGTTTTCAGGCTCCGCTCCTGCCTCCAGATTTCTAAGTTGCTGTGGCGATTCGGCCTTCGGACGGCTGCATGCGGTTCTTCACTTCTTCCCATCGGTAAACGGCATCCACTCATCCAGGGCGGCAGGACTCCACTATTCTAGGTAAGTCCGTAACTAATACAGAGTAATTTTTCTTTATGAATTAATTTTGTAATCGAGTTCAACAAAGTGATATTAACAGGTTCTTAGGTTGTTAAATTTGATTTGGTTTCACTATATAACTTTATATGTAAATAAATATTTTCGTGGACTTATTATTGTTAGTTAATGCTAGCAACTTCTATTTTGAAATATTTTTTTAATTAATTACTACTATCAACAATTTACCATTTCAATTGAAATAGCATTTCTTTTTAACTATAGAAAAGAAAGGCCTGGTCTTTATTGTTGCACAGGGCCCTCATTTTCTCGGGACCGGCCCTGGGTGTACGAAGAGAAAGAATAAGTTGAGAAAAGATTTGGTTAACTATGTTATCTATTGAAAGAGTAAGTTGAGAAAAGAATAAGTTGATAGATTAAGTGGATTAGCTGTGTTATCTATTGAAAAAAAAGAGTTAGTTAGTCTTGATTGTAGTGACGTCCTTACTAATTCTGCACTTCAAAAGGCAAGAAGAATTGAGTTTTAGAAACTACACTTTTTAGTACATTTTGTGTAGGTTACATTTAAAATTTTATTGTTTTGAAAGTCACAATATATGTTGTATTTGCATTTATTTTATCTTATTTTTCATGACGGTGTTTTATACAAATTACATTAATACGGAGTATGATATTTGATCATTGAAGTTTTTCCTTCTGGGGCCTCCAAATCGCTAGAGCCGCCCATGCGTCTAGATCGCTTTACCATTCAATTTTTGGTGATCATTGTCAATTTTTCATAATAGTCATCATTTTTAGGGGCTAATACTATGACTATTGATGAATTAAGCTCTGATATCATGGTAAGTTTTAAAGTTTTATCACAAAAGGTCATTTTGATAGGAGGAGTCCGAAACATTAGAAGTTTAGTTCTGATCTGTCCTGTTTAATTCTGATCTTCTCTTCTCTGTCTAATCTATTTAATTTTAATTTGATCTAATCTGATCTATTTAAATATGATTTGATTAATCTTAGACTAAAACCAATTGATTAAAACATTGGAAGTGTGTCAATTTCAAAGTTGGGCGTATAATTCATGAACAAGAATGTGCATTACGAATATCTCAAACCTTCATTGCCTGATGAATGTGTATAAACTGATTCTGGGAATCTACCCATTTCATCAACTCTTTTAAAGAAAGTTTGCATTTTTTTATATTAAAAATTAATTTTAATATAATATCACAATTATTCTTAGTGGTCGTCTACATTTTAGTTTTTGAATTAAGGAAGAGTATATATTTTTGGAACCAACTGATTCTGGCTGTACGTAATCATGTCAGTCATTTGGGTGTTTTGGTTGTTTATCTTTTTTGTTTGACGATTTCGTTTTAAATTAATTTAATACTTCGGATTTGTTCAAATTCACTTATATTTTGATAAGGGGCTCGTCCACTACTTGAATAGTCAGAATTGCAAAGGAACTTGTAGAATAGAAAGTGGAGTAATTTTGGTAGGAACTTAAGTATAGAGTATATAATATAAAATTAATACTCTCTTACTCTAAATTATCTTCCAAATTTCCTTTTCTGTCCATCCCAAAACAATCTTCAATTTTCCTGTTTGGCAAAGAATTGCGGTCCACGATATTTCTTACACATTTTTAATAAATAAATAATTTTTTTTATATTCTGAAAATATAATAAAAGTTTTATAAAGTCGCAAAAAAATTAAATTTGACAAAATTTGAATGTATAACGTAAAAGATTAAAAACTACAGAGTATTCGAGTTGACTACAGAATAGTAACATGATACTTTTGTTAACGACCGACGTAGTAGCATTTAAAATACTCCCCATTAATTTGTACGGTGGTAGTTGCTAAAATAAAATAAAAATTGCTCAATATAGGATTAAAAGATGCACAAAGTTTTAAAATAGGAGCTAACATGTTTTCTTCCCTATATAAGACTTATTAAATCCTACGTAGAATGTAGTATTAAGATAATAAATGAGTTTTTTTTTTCAAAAATATTACTAAAATAAAACTTATTCACACAAATATGACTAATAATTACTACAATGTATTGTCATGGTAAATCAAGTTTAAAAATTGAACATAAGTTACTATGATTCCAGTACTACGCCTATATTTGAACGAAAATGCGTGTCGTCCAGCGGAGCCTAGAAGAAGGTGAGTAAATAGTCACATTTTTGTAAACAATGTTTACTTTAGTCATAAATATGTAATTATTTCATACTCCCTTCGTCCCAAAATTATCTTCATAGTTACTATTCACACGTACAACTCAAATTACTCTTAAACTTTTACTTTATATATCAAATTTTTATCAAACTTAAATTTTCTCGATCAGCCTTTGTAGCGGGTTTAATGTAGTTTCTGAATATGTAAATTTAGTTTACTAAAAATAATCTGAGTTTGAACGGGAATCATGTTGCTTTATCGTTAGTCAAACATCGTAAATCGAACTACGAAGATAAATATGGGACGGAGGGAGTAATAAATTGATTAAAAACTTTCCATTGATCCAAAAAAGGTGGAATCTCCCGTAGGTTAGTCACGGACTCACGGTGACTCAGTCGCAGTAGACCCATACACCCGTGCGCACCAAAAGCCTAATCTTATTTCAGGTTCTGTGACCTGAAATTTCTGTGACCACACAATTTCTGTGACCTTCACCCGACCGCTGCGGGGATTCGAACCTTGATCCATTGATTCAAATCTCCCGCCACTCGACCAACTGAGCTAACCGTGCTGGTGTGATTAAAAACTTTCCATAGGAGTGAATGATAGATAGTCCTATCTTTCATGAATGATAGTCCTTTTAGAAATTAGTTCAAATAGAACTAAAACTATGCCAAAAACCTAAAATAGGACTTGCTATGTTTTTATTCCAAAATAGGACCGACCATATGAGTCCTATTGGAAACATACATGTTTTTGCATTCCATTCTTACCCTTCCATTAAATATGAATTAAAAATAGTCAAAAGCCATAATTAAATGTTTAATTCATAATAAATTCGAAAAAAAATCAAAAATTAGTAGAAATATAATTAAAAAATTTATAATTTTTTTATAAAATAAAAAATTCAAAAACTTTTTTGTAAATAATTTTATTTTTAAAAAAATTAATAAAAAATAGTAAAACTCCGTAAAAAAATTTTAAAAAATATGGATGCCTTTCCCACCGCTTGTACTACCTCCTAGCACCACAACCTCCGGGCGATGAAAAAAATGCCATTTTCCCAGAAAAATGCCATTTTTTTCTGAAAATGCCATTTTCCTTGAAAAATGCCATTTTTTCTGAAAATGCCAAAAAAGTGGCATATTTCTCTTTTCGAATGCCAACATTTTCATTTTTTTTCTGCCATAAATATGGCATTCGTAATGAACTTGGCATTTTTTCCCCCTGGTGATCGGAGGTGGTGCTGCTGAGGCGGCAGAGGCGGCGGCGATTTTTTTTTTTGAGTTTTTTTTAATTTTTTTTAATTTTTTTAATTTTTTGAAAAAAAATTAATTAAATTTTTAATATCGAAATGTTATTCTTAATTTTTTAGTATTTTTTACGAATTTTTATTATTGTTTATTATTTTATTAGGAATTAAAACATTTTAATAGCTATAAGGGTATAATTGTCCAAGGTACACATAATTATTCATATGCAAACATAATTTATTTTTTGGTCCTATTTGTGAAAAGTGAATGATTTTTAGTCCTATTTTGATAATTAACTATCCTCCTTTTTCTAATTTGCAGAAAGTATGTGAGAGGAATCAGAGCATCATCCAAACGCGCCCTTGACATTCATGTTCGAAATATTGTTTCATGCCTTCATGTAACCTGAAGCATTTGTTCTGCAATTATTCAAGAACATCTACGATGAACAATGCATTCACCACAAAATCTGTTGAACTCTTGACTGGGGGAATACATATTTGCCAACTGGACGTTAGTAAAATCGCCAACCGTTATGCGGCACACCTTCAACTATGTTCCTCTAACATACACAGACATGCTACATCTTGCCATGTCAGAATTATCCACGCCAACATGATCACCTCTGGATTCAAGCCCCGGGGTCACATCCTTAACCGCCTGATCGATGTGTATGGTAAGTCCTCAAACCTCTCTTACGCAAGACAACTGTTCGATAAAATTCCACAACCGGATGTCATAGCAAGGACGACCATGATTGTTGCCTATTCTGCTTCCGGTGATCCCGCGCTTGCTTCAGACATTTTTCATAAAGCCCCTCTAATCATGCGTGACACTGTTATATATAATTCTATGATTACATGCTACTCACATCACAATGACGGCCATGCTGCTATAAAACTGTTTAATGACATGAAAAGAATGAACTTTTTGCCTGACCAGTACACATACACAAGTATGCTTGCCGCTTCGGCACATATAGCTGATTGTGAATTGCATTGCCACCAGTTACATTGTGCTGTTATCAAGTCTGGAACTGGAAAAATTACATCTGTGGTGAATGCACTTATGTCAGTGTATGTGAGATGCGCATCTTCTCCATTTGCATCTTCGGTTCTGTTAATGGACTCAGCTAAGAAGCTATTTGATGAGCTTCCCAAGAGGGATGAATTGTCTTGGACTACCATTATTGTAGGTCTTATAAGGAATGATAATGTTGATGCTGCACGGAAAGTGTTTGATGGGATGGTTGAGAAGATACTTGTGGCATGGAATGCAATGATTTCTGGGTATGTTCATAAGGGTTTTGTCTCTGAAGCATTAGAACTATATAGACAAATGCACTTGCTAGGAATTCAACAGGATGAATTTACATATTCTAATGTTCTCAGTGCATGTGCTGATGCTAGATTATTTCTCCATGGAAAGCAGGTACATGCTTACATCATAAAGATGGAAACAGAAGCTAAAGATAATTTCCACGTGTCAGTAAACAATTCTTTGATTACACTATATTGGAAATGCAATAGAGTTGATGGTGCTAGGAAAATATTTGATTTGATGATCACTAAAGACCTGATCTCATGGAACATAATTTTGTCCGCCTACGTGAGTGCAGGGCTGGTTAATGAAGCTAAGCTGTTTTTTTCCGAGATGCCAGAGAAGAGCTCCTTAACATGGACAGTGATGATATCTGGATGTTCACAAAATGGGCTTGGGGAAGAAGGTTTGAAGCTATTTAACCAAATGAAACTAAATGGGTTTGACCCATGCGACTACGCTTTTGCAGGAGCCATTACATCTTGTGCAGTTCTTGCTGCATTAGAAACAGGACGCCAGATCCATGCTCAGATTATTCGACGCGGATTTGATTCAAGCCTCTCTGCTGGAAATGCACTAGTTACATTCTATGGACGGTGTGGAGCCATTGAGGCTGCAATGTCTCTGTTTCATAGGATGCCATGCGTTGATCCAGTATCTTGGAATGCTATAATTGCTGCCTTGGGGCAGCATGGTCATGGTGCTCTTGCAATAGAACTTTTTGAGGAGATGTTGGAAGAGAATATAACTCCTGACCGTATAAGCTTTCTAACAGTTTTGTCTGCTTGTAGCCACGCGGGGTTAATTAAAGAAGGACAACATTATTTTAATTTAATGCATACCAAGTATGGTATTAGCCCAGGAGAAGATCACTATGCTCGCTTTATTGATTTGTTGGCTCGAGCCGGAAGGTTCTCAGAAGCAACAAATGTAATCAAGAGTATGCCTTATAAACCTGGGGCACCCATTTGGGAAGCTCTTCTTTCTGGTTGCCGACTTCATGGAAATATTGAGCTGGCAGTGCAAGCTGCAGATCAACTTTTTGGCTTGGTTCCACAACATGATGGAACATACATACTTATGGCTAACACGTTTGCTTCTGCAAACAGATGGAATGATGCTGCCAATGTGCGAAAACTAATGAGGGAACGAGGGGTCAAGAAGGAGCCTGCCTGTAGTTGGATTGAAGTTGAAAACAAGGTCCATGTATTTTTGGTGGATGATACTAAGCATCCTGAGATTCAGGCAGTTTACATGTACTTGGAGGAGTTAACAATAAAGATGAGGAAAGCTGGATATATTCCTGATACGAAGTATGTGTTGCATGATATGGAGATTGAACAAAAGGAGCATGCCTTGTCAACTCATAGTGAAAAACTTGCAGTTATATTTGGTCTTTTGAAGCTACCTCGTGGTGCCACAATTAGGGTATTCAAGAACCTTCGTATATGTGGGGACTGCCACAATGCGTTCAAATTAATTTCAAACTTGGAGGCAAGAGAGATTATAGTGAGAGATGGAAAGAGGTTTCATCATTTCAGAGATGGTGAATGTTCATGTGGTAATTACTGGTGATCATAGTGATACTTAACCATCCTCTATACTTAATAGGAATACAAAATGATCTGCACCGTTCACTTGAAAATGATTTATCACCGTTAGATCCCTTTTCATTCTTATATGGTGTACTATTTCAGTATTTCCTTTCTCTTTCCATTTATTTCACTCTTTTCACCGGTCGGCTTCCGTTCGTCGCTGCAAATAAAATATTTGGCCACAAGATTTTGCTGTAAGGAAGCCAAATATTCCTTTTCAATTCTAATGGAAGATGGGCAGCAGCCACAATATTTTGGTGCAAAGAAGCTGAAGATGATTTTGTTGTGAACAAGTTGAAGACTATTTTTCAATTCTAATAAAAGATGGGTAACGACCACAAGGTTTTGGTGTAAATAAGCTGAAGGTGGTTTTGCTGTAAACAAGTCCAAGGCTTCTTTTCAATTCTAATGAATGAGTTGCAGCCAATCCTTTTATCACCAATCCTTTTAGTATCTCTGCTCTGCATCTTTGTCTTCGCCAATCCTTCTCTAATCATATTGTTGCTGGACAGTTTCGTCTTCCTCACATGAAAAGGTAACCATCTTCTCTATGACAAGGTCTATTTTAATCCTATAAGAAGCATCCTACATGAATATATTTACTTGTTATTATTATTGAAGTAATTATCTTGATCATAATAGGTTTCCAATTAATACACAATGAGTTTTATTTTTTATTAGATATATATCGCTGTTGGATTCTCCTTAAACTGAAGTTGGATGAACAAATTGAAGAATTGAATTGGAAGGTAATCTGATTCATAACTGTTGCTCTAATCAAATTGAAGAATTTATCATATTCGGTTTGGAAATTCAGATACATACTTTCTCTTTAACTATTTCCCATACTTTAATGCCTTTGAATGATTGATAGTAAGGTAGTCCTTTCATATTTAGGAGTTTAAATTTTTTAAGGGCGAGTTTTTTAGGCCCCTTTCGTGTTTTCAATTTATTAAGCAATTTAGTTTCATACCTACTTATTTCGATTTGTAGAAAAATGTTACATTATTAGAAAAATGTTACATTATTTTTCCTGATTAGATTGATGTACATAGTGAGTCGGATAGACTTAGTTAGTTGTAGATAAGCTCATAGTTATCTAGATCCTAATTTTTAGGATCTGTACCAGCTTGTAGTTATCCGTACAAACTGTATTTATACTCTGGCCGCTAAATTGACCTCAGACTTTGCAGCCTTTACCTCCAATATCTCTTCTATTTCTATTCCTCCAACCATACAGGATGCTCTATCTAAACCTGAGTGGAAGAAAGCTGTTTTGGAGGAGATGGAGGCTCTTGAAAAGAATCAGACATGGAAGCTTGTAGAGTTACCTAAAAATAAACCTACAGTTGGTTGCAGGTGGATTTTCACCCCCAAGTTTAAGGCAGATGGAAGTTTGGAGAGGTATAAGGCAAGACTAGTTGCCAAGGGGTACACACAGACCTATGGAATTGATTACAAAGAAACTTTTGCACCAGTTGCAAAGTTGAACACTGTAAGAATTCTTTTATCTCTTGCTGCCAATTTAGACTGGCCATTACAACAACTGGAAGTAAAGAATGCTTTTTTAAATGGGAAGTCTAAATTGTTTTATAAATAGAGCACAAATATATTTTCCTGGCAACAACTGGAGGATACACATTGTTGTGCTCTTACACGATTTTTGTTTTATTTGTCTTCTAATATTTGCTAAAGAAAATATATGTACTTAGGCCACAACAATGTTTAGAGCACTCACCCAATCATAAGAGAGTTTTTACTTACCTTTAAAAAAGTAATTGGAGGGAAACTTTTTCTGTTTTTTTTATTTGATTGTGCAAAGTAAATGTTCAAGTGCCATTTTTTCCTTTTGTAGGAGAAAAGCCTCCATTCTCATGGGGGAGAGTGAGGAACACGTTTTCGCATGAAGTTGGAAAGTAATTAAGTACTCCGTAGTTCTATAGAAAGTACATTCATTAATTTTATAGAAAGTTTCCATACATTTAAATAGTATTAAAAAAACAAACTCCATTTGTTTAGTGCTTCGCATTGGAGCTTATAAGAGACAAAATGCAGCTTAATAATTGATAAAAATGGGGAGTTTTCTGATGGTGGAAGCTATCAAAATTAAGTGCTAATGTCATCAAAACTGCCCAGTTGGTTATTGTTAAATGTTTCCTCAGCTAATCTTTTGGAATGCTTTGCAGCCAATTTGTAATTTATCAAGGACGCGGATAGTATCCTCATCCTGTAATTTCGTTTAGCTTGGAGGTACATTCTTTATAACTCTGTTGCTAAATTAGTTTTATGTAACTTTAAAAACAAATTTTCATTTGGAAACTTAAAATTCTATTTTTTGCTGCTGTTTTTGTTTCAGAAGAAGTGAAGGGACACAGGGAAGGAAGGGTCATTGGTTCATAAAGCAGTTTATAGAGTCCCTCTATTATGATATCTTTCAAAACATGGTAAGTTTCACTTCCATTGCACGATTTTGTAAAACTTGAGTGAAATCTAACTCTTGATTATTTGATTGAAGATAGACCGGTGATGATTAACCCAGTTTGCTCTACTTCGTTAAAAATTGTGTTGGTATGATCTTTATATTATGATCTATTTATAGATCATCACCTAAGCTTTACTTCTATAGTAGATTTGCTGCAACGTTTTATTCCAGCATTCACATATTAACTTGGTATATTCGTGTTGACAGGAACCATTTGCTTAGAAATTTGATGAGGAATGGTTTTCATGTTGTTGATCACATACTGTTGATTGCTTATGTACATCCTTTTTCTGAGGCAGGGATTGCATTGCTTAGGTAATTAGTAGTTAAGATGTAGTAATAATCCATAGAATGTGCTATCCCAATCAACTTACTATCATGTGCTTATTTCTGCAGCGAAGAACTATGCTGCATTTTCCATTCCTCACACGTAATAGTTGCTTGCTCCACATTCTTAAGTTTCACTCCTATATAAAAGGTGATTATGAGATAAATTAGTCTTACACTCTTAGAATCTTGATATGTACGAGTGTATGTGTCATTCTTTGCTAATTAATGAGTTATAGGCTTATAGCTCAGTTAGCTTTTTCTTTGAGATGAAATCTAACTCTTGATTATTTGACTGATGAGATAACAGTAACTTGGTACTCTTTATTAAGATAAAATCTAACATATTACTATTTAAACCTGAAGAGGAAATAGAGGCCAGATTATCACATAACAATGATATATAGTAAAAAAAGTAGAAGTAATATGGATGGAAGGTGAATGTTTCAAGACCAAAAGCTGTAACATCCCTAGTAGCCAATCCAGTTCTCACTTGTGCTTCTACTTCTCAGTTTGATTTAGCAGTAACTTTGTTACCGACCCATTGCTTTATGTTAAAGTGACTTTATAAAGAGAATCTTTCTAATATAATATGTAATCTGAGCCAAGCCCATGAAAAACCCACGCCCTTAAAGAAAGGATAGAAATCAGAAATTCATTGCAATACAAAACCATTAATTGACAACTCAACAGTTATTTACTTTAAAATTGGCTAGAAGAGAACCAATATGATACTCAAGTATTAGAATGTAGTGAGAATGTTCAGAACCCTCTTTTAATTCAATACGCCATTGTAGCAACGAGCAGAATCTATTTGATAGTCCAATTTCACTCCAAACAAACCAGATAGCAACAGGGGCGACTGCCCTAGGCCCGAAAATATATAGAGAGAAAAATAGGCCCAAATTTTTTTCTGCATATATAGTGTGAGTAGGCTTCTTTTTTATTCTAAGTTCATTTAATGAGGCCGGATGTTTAATTTTTGTTGACAATTTGAAAAAAAGGACATAAGTAGAATGTTTTAAATGAAGCCAAGTTAAAAAAAAGTATACATTAATTTTAAGTAGGACCAGTTGTACTTTTTAAAGCAACACAATTGTTGCTGAATCAATAAAAGACATGTATCTTCAGTCTTCACATCTCTTTAGCTTTTAATGTTTTTTATTCTTTTTAAGCTATTATTGATGATTTTACTTCACATTGTTCTGCGAGAATCGTTTTAAGTAATATTTTGCTTTTTATGTAAAGCTTGTGTTCTTACTTTTGCCTAAATTTGTAATTTAAATAATAGTAAAGTGATTTTTGCCTTTATTTATGACCTTTATTAGATACAAATTATATTGGTTAGAATTCATATTTTAAATATGTATAGTTTATGATTTGTCTTAGGTGTAAGCCCAATATATTATATCGCCCATAGGCCCAGAAAATGAGCAGGACCGGCCCTGCTTCCATGCTCCCGTGCAACGCACGGGTAGTGTAACTAGTATACATTATGAGAACTGGAAATTTGGACAGATAATTATTGATGCCAAACTAATTGAGGGCCTAAGAAGATGTATTGGAAGCCTCACCTCTTCTGTTATTCAGTGTTCATTTGAACCTGTCTTTTCTCATGCAGGCTGCAGCTCTGTCTACATACACCAGTGCAGTCTTGATTGGGAAGATTAACATGCCCACCAGCCCTGATGGGGCTTGCTTTTCTACAACAAAGTGTGTTTGGAAATGCCATTCACCAGGAAACAGTGACTTACTGACTTGGCTTTATTCAGTTAGCAGTGACTTTTACTTCAAAGCCTCTGATTAGACATTCTTTAGGGACACAGCTTAGCATTTCCCGGGTGAATATATTGTTAAGCTTTCATCCGGTTATTTACGGTCAGTTCAGAAATGCATTTCCTAGCAAACACTTATTTTCCCATGCATCTTAACTAAAGTACATTCTATAGTGACCCTTATTTTTTTCATCTGATTATTTAAGGAAACAGTTGAATGAGGAAAGACTATATTGAGCTGAAGGGTCCCTCCAGGAAAGCCTTCCCTTTTCATTTTTTGACAACGCCGCTCCCAAGAATTTAACCAGTGCACCACCAAGGCTCCCCTTCTGTTTTCTACTCAGCATGAAAACCTAATCTCAAAATCCATTAACTCATTAAGTATTGAAGTCAGCTGGGAAAGGCTAGAACCGTACTGTGGCGATTGCTCCTGTGTGAGACTGTCAAGTGCCACTAGGCATAACCCAATGCTCAAGGACTGCAAAATACAATGCTTTATATTTGATGTTTGCAGGCCGGCTAGGCAGGTGAGCTCTGTAATTGGTTTACGATTTGTTTCAATTCATTTCGCATTTGTTAGGTAGCACTGCAGTATATCTGTTTTTGATAGACAAGTTTATTTTTACAATGCCTAAGTTTTACCTAAATGTCAGTATTCTGAAATTTCAAGCATGAATTATTTAGCACTTCCCTTGGTTTGACAAAGCTTTAACTGCTCAAGCTGTCAGTTGTCTGTCTTGAATACACAATTTTCATCATGCCACCTGCTGGGTTATCTACTCGGCGAGTACTCGCAACTCGGGTATTGACCTTGTCGAGTAGCTATCTGACTCGGTCCGTGTTTTATTTCCGAGTTACTCGCTGAGTACTCGGCGAGTTTCTCAACTCGGTGAAGTTTTCAACTCTGCGAGTACACGGTCTAACTCGGCCCCCCTTTGAAATTGAAAAACTAAGTTACAAAACCTAGGTCAAACGGAGTTCCTGACATCTACTATCCCCCAGAGCTGTGACTATGATCTCTCAATAAGTTCCCATCCTCTTTCTTGTATCTTCCCCTCTCCCCTCTCTCGTTTCTTCTTCTTCCACCCTCCCATCCTTCTTCGCCAATTGTTCTTTTCTGCATTCTTAAAATATCACCACCTTGATTGTTTAATATTGATGCACACATATTTGTTGATATAAATAAATTATTTTCACTAGTATGACTATATATATTATACTTCGTACTACGTAACTTTAAATTAATATCACTATATTGATTGTTTGTTATGACACATCATTGATCGATACACACTGATATACATCATCTAATTGACAGAATATGCTAATCCAACACTTAGGGGGTGTTTGGATTTGATTCTTAAAACTGCTTCTGCTCCTTCATGGAGCAGAAGCAGAAGTTGGAGTGGTTGGGTAAAAGTGCAGAAGTGAAATTTACTCCTAGAATCAGTTTTTTTAGAAGCTGGGGGTGACCAGCTTCTGAAAACTGATTCTGCTTCTGCTTTAAAAAAGAAGCAAAATCAGAATCAGTTCCAAACACCCCCTTAAGAGAAAATCAGATGATTTAGGATGGACATGGGGAGAGAACAGAGATCCTAGCAAATTATTAGATAATTGAGTTTTCTAGAAGACTTAGAATGTTTATGACTTTTGCTACTCCATCATTAGGATTTCTATCATTTTATTCATTTCTATGCATTTTAAGACAAATTTAACACTATTATATTTCTATAATCTCAGGCACCTGTGCTATTAGATTTAATAATTACAAGACCGAGTAGTCACCGAGTAATCCCTAGTAATCGGTCCTACTCGCTACTCGGCCCTTGACCGAGTTACTACTGAGTAGTGAGTTAACTACATAGGCCACCTGTTTGCAGAAGTTGGAGACGAACAGAAAGGGATGTGAGTAATGGGGGGAAGACATTTGAGCTTATTGAGCCAAATTTGTTTGTTTTATTTGGATGGAGAAATGGAGTACTGGCTGGAGATGCCGAAATCCCTTTGAGAAGAAAAACATGGGGAGAAAGACCGTGCATAGGCCTTTTGCTCTCTGTTTGTTTGGAGGGTAGTGAGTAGTTTAAGTAAAATACTCCATGAGGATTTTCTTTAAAGTTTAAACCTGTTCGGGAGGAAGGGGGTAAAAATTATAGGGCAAAACATGTGATATACGTTGGAACCCTTAACCCTTGTTGCACCCTTAAACATCTGAACCCTTAATTCCTTTCTGAAGCACAAATAACATTATCAAAAATAACAAGGAAAATCAATTTTAAAACCATGTTTTTAAAACTATTTATCTAGTTGCACACATTTTGACTTGGAGCATTAGAAAGTCTTAACACGGAGACATGTGTATCTCACAGGGAAATTTTCAAGGCAAGATTTCATTAATTTTTACATTTGTTCTAGTTTGTACAGGGATGGAGCCAGGCTGTCAAAGATGAAACAAACGAAGGAACTGTTCTACTTCCAGTGATCGGATCACTTCAGACAGGAAGAGCGAGTGGATGGAGGCTCTTTGGTATGGACGGTTGGACGGATGGGGCTGATTTAGAAGGCTGATTTAGAATCACCCTTAAATAATCACGGATCAATTTCTGCTTGTCGGACTGTGTTCTAAGTCTGATCGGGCCAAAGCTCGGGTATTGAACCTGACCCATTGTCCCAACATACGGAGTATTATTTAGATGTTTTCCTCGATATAGAAAGTCTTTTTTCACTAAAGATATGATATCATGGCAATTTTAGATAAAAGTAATGAAGATTTAAAATCAAAATGTAAACATGAAAATAAATAAATCATAATAAAACGAGAAAAGCACGAGAAATATTACCATCCGAGTATAGCAAAATGGCATTTACTGTCAAAGTGTAATTTTCAGATCCAAAATTAATTAAAAATAAGTACATAGCAAATAAAGACAAAATTAAATCAAAAGTAGCAATGAATCAATAAAAAGTAATAAATGTAGTCATAAAATGAATCTGAAATTTTTACCAAAGTAATAGAATCAATAAAAATATAAAACGAAAGGTTGAAAACATATTCATTCAATTGTATCATGGTTTAAATCTTTATCTATTATTTCAATTTGATAAAAGTTGGTCAAAACTTATTTGTATTTGGATTCTTGGAATATGAAAGTAAACCTCTTTTGTTAGGTTTGGGATAGAGAAGGCAGGAATCCTACTATATACAAACCAAAGTGGAAAATCAGCCAATATTCCTACCTAAAGATACGGGTAAGGAAGGATGGGTGGGATCTTAAATAGGAGTATTGTGAGATGATTTTTGCTTACTATACGCTTCAGAATCAAGCTTATCAATATCCGAGAAGATCTCAAACTTATGGATAATAGGAGTACTCCGTAATTAAAAGGTGTAGAGTCATGTGGGTCAGCATATCAAGATCCCCAAATGAGCAACAAGCCAATTAATGACATTCAGATCATACATCTCTCTCGGTTGAAATCTAAGTAGCACCGGGACGGAAACGGAAACGGGGATGGAGACGGGGACGGAGAAACTCTAAACTCAAAATATCAAGATACGGGTACGACAAGGAAACGTCGAACTAAAAATTAAAATTTTACTAGTATAAGTAATTTTTACGTCCAGTGTCCAACAAGTATGAAATAATTAAACACTTCGATCCACTTGAACAAATTAAAGTAAGTCCCAACCCACTTGAACAGGTCAACAGTCAACACTTCAACCCACTCTTCCAGCGACTTCAGCAATCAGCACAAGGTCTGGAACTTTCGCCGGACACCAAATAGTCTGAATTTCAGACTGAAACTTTCGCCGGTCACCAACTTCAGCGCAAGGTCTTCGTCTCCCCGTCGTCACCACTCTAGCGTCGCGTATTGCTGCAGTAAAACCCTCAAATTCCGTCGACGTCGAGTGATGGATGCTAGAGTCGCAGCCTCGCAGGTTAGTTGTGATTAAAAAAAATTAACGCGGATTAGGCCCAGCTCCAAATTGACCGACCTTTTTTTAGAAAACTAACCAGAAACGCCTCAGCCCACTTGAATTCCCGTTTCCTATACGTTTCCCCGAGCCGGCCCAAAAGCCCAAGTGCTCAGAAACGTTTCCCTGCGTTTGCCAGTCGTTTCCCGGCGTTTCTGCGCGTTTCGCGTTTCCGAAACGTTTCCGGGACGGAAACTTGAAATGCATCCATATCGCCATAGGAATATTCATCCCTGCTGATAACGTTAGTGAAGAAACTCGCGGAGATGGCGTCTTTTAATAAGAAGGTTAGTTATGTGTTCTGCTCTCTCTCTCTCTCTATGTATATGTGTGTGTGTTCGCCTATATGTATGTTTATATATGTGTGTCTGTGTTTAGGTCTGTGGAGTTTAAATCAAAACTGAACCAAAATGCTTATGAGAACATTTAATGTCTTCCTATATACCATTCTTAGAATGAATTCTTCGATAGAGTGTTCTAAATGATCAGATTTCGAATTTTCAACTATCTGTTTATTAGGGTGGATGATACGGAGGAGTTGAAACTCGATAGATAAGATACCGGATACTCCACTAGCATAGAGCCAGGCGTGAGAACTGAGACGCCCCAAGAGTGCGAGACTCAAATCCGGAAGAGGCAGCATGGGCCGATCGAAGATTCAGATATTCCAGCTTAATTGCTTCCTATGATCTTCTTCTGAAGTTCCAGGTAGTTCCAACTTCCAACCTTCCGGGATACGAGTATGCTTAATTGCTTCAGACTTCCTTTCTGCAATTTGGAGTTCTAACACTGTCCAATGCTACGCTATTGATGCCGCTGGACAGATTTTAGTTTTTCTCATTCACTCATGTGATTTTTTTATAATAATCTAAGAATAAATGTTTTAATATTATTATAATTATTGACGGTAATATATATTACGGAGTATTTTTTATTAGTCTTTTATGTTTTGCACTAATATTTTATAAATGTCATTGTTTCAGTCATTTAGTTATTTTGTCACTGATCATTTTCTTTTACCCCAGTGCCGCAAAAGCTCCCACCTACGGTGGGTAAGGGGGGTCGGATCTACGCAGTCTTAGCACTAATATTTTATAAATGTCATTGTTTCAGTCATTTAGTTATTTTGTCACTCCTCATTTTCATTTAGTTATTTTGTCACTAATAATATTTAATTTTTTTGTTTCAAAAAATATATACTCCCTCCGTTCATAAAAATTCTTCCCGGTTTGACTTGACACGCTTATTAAGAAAGTGGAATAAAGTGGAAATGTTTGGTTATGATTGTGTAAGAAAAAGGTAAAATGAATGTGAGTCACACAAATTGTCCAAAATGGGAAAGTGGGAAGTATTTTTGGGAACAGCCCAAAAAGGAAAGTGGGAAGTATTTTTGGGAACGGAGGGAGTATTTAATAATTGTATACTGTAATTGTTAATTTTCTTTTGTTTGTTGATGTTTTTTCTATTATATATTAAAGAATATTATCTATATATATATGCCAAACATGCAGGTACTATCATGATAGGTAATTAAAAATTTGACTTCACGGGTATAAAGAGAAAGAATAAGTTCAGAAGAAACTTGGTTATTAATTTTTTTTTGGATTGGTATGTAAACAAGATATCTGTTATTTTTTCTCTTATTTATTCAATTTCCGGTTTTGTTTTCAATAAATAGTAGTTATGTTTTTTACTAATTGATTCATCGCTCAATCAATATTCCTATGCTTTGGACTATCAACAGATAGCTGAAGCTGCGAAGCATCTCTGCTTGAAGTTGTATTTTGTCTCTTATGGTTTGGAAACGTCGTTGAGTTAGCTACACCAGTTGCATGCAAAGGTATTGTCGGCGCCTCGGCGGTGATGACAGGTAACTAACATAAGCTGAGGCCATTTATTATTGTTAACTGCATAATAAGTCAGAGGCAGAGGCGGGTTTGGTCATCCATTGTCATCCTTAAGTTAGCTGGCTAAATGTGTAAACGATTAACAAAAAGTCTATTGTTACACACTTTTCTCACACACATACACACTATAAATACTCCCACAAACAATTTACCCCCTTTCCCCATCTCAACCACACGCGCGAACCCAAAAAAAAAAACCACACCCGATTTCAAAAACTCCCTCTCCCCCACTTCGCGCAACCCTTCCCTTCATCCCGCCATAGATGATTCTTCCGCTCCCTTTCCCTTCATCTCTGCAACCGTTGACTCTGTGCCAACCCCTCACCATAGACGAGTCGTCCCCGCCAACCGCCCCCAACCCGGCGGCGTTCGTCCCCCAACCCGGCATCGTTCCCCCCCAACCCGGAGTTCGAAGAATAGGTGCTGCACTCTTGCAATAGGCGGTGCAACCGACGTTCTTCCCAAGCCCATCGTCTCGTGCAACCGGCGCTGCTTAATCGACCCCCCACGATGTAGAATCAATTGACAAAGAATGGTGCGAACCCCAGTTTCTACAATGGCCGAAAGGTATGGTCTTCTATCCTTGGAATTTTTAGTGTAGATATATAGTTGATGATGTTTATTTGCAGGGTGAAGCAAGATTGTTTTGTTTATGAAGTTTTAGAACCCATCTAGTGATTGGATATGCATTTGTGTGTGTAAGGTTGATTGTATGTCATGTGGGGATATGCATTGTCTGTGTAAGGTTGATTTTATGCTTGCTGAAGGACATATATATTTGTAGAAAATGTTACATTAGTTCTTCTGATTAAATTGATGAACATTTGTAGTCGGATAGACTAGGATAGATGCAATTAGTTGTAGATAAGCTTTGTAGTTATCAAGATCCTATTTTTTAGGATCTGTACTAGCTAGTTGTTATCTGTACAAAGTGTATTTATACCCTGGCCATTTGGCTTATTCAATCAAGGAAATTTTATTCCTAAAACTTACATGGTATCAGAGCAGGCCGTTTAAACACCACAATGGTGGAAACCGAGCACTCTGACTCTTCTCCCCACTCACAAACCCATAACCCTAACTCCCAAAATAGCTTCATGACAAACTACCAGACCTCAGTTCATTCATCTATGCTCATTACTGGACATAGATTGAATGGCACAAATTATCTCGAATGGTCACAGTCTGTCAAGATGGCAATTGATGGAAGGGGCAAACTAGGGTACATAACTGGTGAAATAGAGGAGAAACAAACTGGTGATGATGGCTACAGTATCTGGAGGTCAGAAATTTCCTTGGTGATAGCCTGGCTTCTCAGTTCAATGGATGCATCAATTGCCAAACCTCACATGTTCATGAAAACTGCAAAGGAAGTATGAGATTCAATTAAGGAAACTTACTCAGATCTTGAGAACTCTTCTCAGATTTTTGAATTAAATCCAAGTTGTGGTAGTCCAAACAAGGAAATAGAGATGTCATCTCTTACTATAATGAGATCGTATCCCTATGGCAAGAGTTGGATCAATGCTATGATGATGAGAAATGGGAGAGTGCCAAAGGATCTAGCAAGATACAAAAAAAGGGAGGAAAATGATAGGGTCTATATGTTCCTAGTAGGAATTAATAGAGACCTAGATGAAGTTAAGGGAAGAATACTTGGAAAAAAACCTCTACCCTCCATCAGGGAGGTATTTTCTAAAATCAGGCTGGAAGACGGTAGGAAGAAAGTTATGTACAACACTCCAGTACATAATGAGGAGAATCTGGGGACTCTTCAGCAATGGTGGCTAGGAGTGATGACAAGAAAAAACCCTGGTGTGATCACTGCAAGAAATTATGGCACACTAGGGAGACTTCTTAGAAAATTCATGGCAAACCACCACGAGCAGGAAAGAAAAAAAGTGAGACCCTACAAACAACTGTGACTGAGACTCAACAAGAACCACAAGTCAAGTTCAATCAGCCTTCATTCACTCAGGAGCAGATAGAGCAACTTCTTACCCTTCTACATTCCCAGAAAAACCAAAATTCACAGAAAGAATCCAAACCAGAATCTTCCTTTTGTTCTTATGCCCAAAATGGTACCTATTCATCATTTTTTGTTCTCGGAAATCTAAAAATTCTTGTGTTATTGACTCAGGGGCTACTGACCACATGACCTCTATTTCAAATCTTTTTTCTTCATATAAACATAGTGCAGGAGATAAAAAGGTTAAGGTTGCAGATGGTTCTTTATCAACCATTGCAGGGATGGGAAATATTAGTATTTCCTCATCTCTGAATCTATCCAAAGTCCTTCATGTCCCTAATCTATCCTGCAATCTTGCTTCAGTTAGTCAAATAACTAAAGATCTACACTGTTGTGTTATTTTTTATCCTTATTGCATTTTTCAGGACCTGGCATCGGGGAAGATGATTGGCAGTGCTAAGGAGGAGGATGGACTCTATATCTTTGATGGAGAAACTCAATCAAATAAAAGAGGTCCAAGAAATGCTTGTTTGCAAACTGTTTCTTTTTCAAATAATAAAGATTTGTATTTACTTCATTATAGACTAGGACACCCTAGCTTCTATTATTTAAAACGGATGTATCCTCAATTGTTTCTGAATAAAGATGCTTCTTTGTATAATTGTGATATGTGTGCACTTGCAAAACATCACAGAAACACTTATCTACCCCAAAGTTATAAACCTACTAGTCCTTTTACCTTGGTACACAGTGACATTTGGGGTCCATCTAGAATACCAACTTTAAAGGGAAAGAGATGATTTGTAACTATTATTGATGATCATACACGAGTCACATGGGTATTTTTAATCAAAGAAAAATCTGAAGTTGAGAAAATATTTAGGGAATTTTATGCTATGGTCCAAACTCAATTCAATACCAAAATTAAAATGGTAAGAAGTGATAATGGCCGTGAATATTTTTCTCAAACTTTGAACAATTTTTTTACTCAAAAAGGCATTATCCATCAAAGCTCTTGTATCAATACACCAGCTCAGAATGGAATTGCAGAAAGGAAAAATAGGCATTTGCTTGAAGTCACTCGTGCAATCATGTTTTCAACAAACATACCAAAATATTTGTGGGGAGAGGTTGTGTTACATGATGTGTATTTAATTAATCGCATGTCATCCAAAACTTTAGGATTTAAAAGTCCTATCAGTTCACTACAACACTTCTTTCCTACAAATAGATTGGTAAACACCCTTCCTTTAAATTTTTTTGGTTGCACAGTGTTTATACAAAATCCTGATAGATCTGCCAGTAAGTTAGATCCTAGAGGAAAAAATGTATTTTTCTAGGTGTTTTTGCCACTAAAAAAGGGTATAAATGTTTTGATCCTACAACCAAAACAATGGTTGTTACAATGGATACCTTCTTTGTGGAAGAACAACTTTTTTTGATTCTCATCTTCAGGGGGAGAAATTAAGTGAAGATGTTCCAATAGTGCCACATATTCATGAAAACCTTAATTTTCTTGATATTAATCTGGATGATCATACGTTTAGAAATAACAGTACATCTGAAAATGATCAAGAAATGAAAAATAATGAAGTAAATACAACTGAACCAATTGAAAAGGATCAACAGACAAGTCAGTTCTTTGATAAAGTTTATGAGAGGGGTTAGAAATCAAAGAATAGAGGAAGTCCAAGAACCTACAACTGTCCATGATTCTGACTCAATACCAGGAAGTGAAAAAGGTAATACTCCTAGCAACCTTGACCTTCCAATTGCTCTCAGAAAAGAAAGAAGAACATGTGTTAAATACCCAATCTCAAACTATGTTTCTTATTCTAAATTAATCCCAGCTTTTGCAGCCTTTACTTCCAATATTTCTTCTATATCTATTCTCTCAACCATACAAGATGCTCTATCTAAACCTGAGTGGAAGAAAGCTGTTTTGGAGGAGATGGAGGCTCTTGAAAAGAATCAGACATGGAAGCTTGTAGAGTTACCTAAAAACAAACCTACAGTTGGTTGCAGGTGGATTTTCACTCCCAAGTTTAAGGCAGATGGAAGTTTGGAGAGGTATAAGGCAAGACTAATTGTCAAGGGTTACACACAGACCTATGGAATTGACTACACAAAAACCTTTGCACCAGTTGCAAAGTTAAACACTGTAAGAATTCTTTTATCTCTTGCTGCCAATTTAGACTGGCCATTACAACTGGATGTGAAGAATGCTTTTTTAAATGGGACCTCCTCTCCTGGGTTTAAAAATAAGTTTGGGTCAAAAGTTTGCAGATTAGAGAAGGTTTTATATGGACAGTCTCCAAGAGCCTGGTTTGACAGGTTCACAAAGTTCATAAAGAAGCAAGGATTTAATCAAGCTCAAGCTGACCATACTTTATTCATGAAGCTTTCACTGATGCAGATTATGCTGGCTCAATATCTGATAGGAGATCTACTTTTGGATACTGTACCTATGAATGGGGAAATCTAGTAACCTGGAGAAGTAAGAAATAAAATGTGGTTGCTTGAAGTAGTGCAGAATCAGAATTTAGAGCTATGGCTAATGGAATATGTGAATTACTCTGGATCAAAAGAGTAATCACAGAACTGAAGATGGAGATTGAGTTGCCTATGAAGTTGTATTGTGATAATAAAGCTGCTATAAGCATGGCTCATAACCCTGTGCTACATGATAGAACTAAACATATTGAAGTGGACAGACATTTCATTAAGGAGAAGATTGAAGCTGGAATCATTTGCACACCATTTGTATCCACTAAAGATCAAACAACTGATATCTTCACCAAAGGGTTATTTAGACCTATATTTGAGCTACTTGTGAGCAAGTTGGGAATGTATGATATATATTCACCAACTTGAGGGGGAGTGTAGAAAATGTTACATTAGTTTTTCTGATTAAATTGATGTACATATGTAGTCGGATAGACTAGGATAGATGCAGTTAGTTGTAGATAAGCTTGGTAGTTATCAAGATCCTATTTTTTAGGATCTGTACTAGCTAGTTGTTATCTGTACAAATTGTATTTATACCCTGGCCGTTTGGCTTATTCAATCAAGGAAGTTTTATTCCTAAAACTTACAATATTGTCTGTGTGAAGATAGATTTTTGTAGTTATTTGTCTGTGTGAAGTTATATGTAAAAGGTTGTGCCTCCATTTGTCTGTGTGAGTGATTGTTTGTCTGTATGTAACTGAAAGCTTGTCTGTGTGATTTAACATATGTCTGTGTGCTTATGGTTTATTTTCTTACAATGATAGGGCACTTGAATTCCAGATTCCTTTGAGCAAGCATTTCCCTGCACAGTATACTGTGTGCTCGGACGTGAAACATGCTTCCAAGTACATTAATGTGATGTTGTCGAAGAAACAAATGGGAATTTTCCGGAAGACACAATGGGGTCACTTTGTTGATATTCTTGATATTCAGTTATGTGCCCAAATTGTGCACATGTTGCTGTTACGGCTGGTGAAGCAGCAACCCGAAGATTTCTGCCGCATATCCGGATTACCTCCGGCAGCCCCTAGGCCTGTCGTGGCTGAACATAGTGGAAAAGATGATGAAGAGGCTGAAGAGGTGGAAGAACCTGGGGAGATTGCTAATGCGTACTTTGGTGGATCACTGGATATCACTTTCCAGATGATGAAGGAGAAGGTTGAAATGGTACGTCCAAGTAAAAAAAGGCAATGCTATGCTATGCTATGTGTGAAGCTTGCATCCCCTCTTCCTAGTTGAGAACGTACAGCTGGGAAGACACAGGACAACAAGGATCAACCAGAGGTCTATTCAGCTAGTTAATGACTTTGAAGAGTTCAAGAAGGAGCCGTGGTCAAGAGATGCTTACCATTTGCTTGTCACACATCTCAAGGGTCGTCTTGATGGGCAGCCAAAGAAGTTTTTTTGACAGTAAGGCTAAGAACCTTGGATACAAAAATGCCAAGTTTTCGGTCTACGGTTTTCCATTGGTCCTACAAGTATGATCCTCATTTATTTTGTTTGATTTTGTACTGTATCCTTCCCAGACATATATGTAAATGGTCACAAACATGTTCTGTGTGAGCATTTTAAAAAGCTGTCTGGGAAGGTCCAAATATGTCTGGTCCAGATTTATGCTCACACAGAACGTGTCTGTGACCATTTACAAATATGTCTAGGAAGGATACAGTACAAAATCAAACAAAATAAATGGGGATCATACCTGTAGGACCAATGGCAAACCGTAGACCGAAAACTTGGCATTTTTGTATTCGGGGTTCTTAGCCTTACTGTCGAAAAACTTCTTTGGCTGCCCATCAAGACGACCCTTGAGATGTTTGACAAGCAAATGGTAAGCATCTCTCGACCACGGTTCCTTCTTGAACTCCTCAAAGTCATTAACTAGCTGAATAGACCTCCGGTTGATCCTCGTTGTCCTGTCTCTTCTCAGTAGTACGTTCTCAACTAGGAAGAGGGATGCAAGCTTCACACCTAGCATATCATTGCCTTTTTTACTTGGACGTACCATTTCAACCTTCTCCTTCTACAATTTCTTTGGATTTCTATAATTTCTTACTCCTGTTTAATTTCTTTTGTATTAATATTTTAATTCCATTTTCAGACTTAAATAAAATTATTACAATCTTATAAAATATCAATTCTAGTTACATGTTTTTAGAAAAACCTTTTTAATTGAATTTTTTATATCATTTTTACGCTATTATTCCCAATATTGACAATATATTGACCAATAACAAGCTGCTCATGACTCAAGAAATCAGTGGATCTATTTGATATTCTATATGTATAATAAGCTACTCATATTGTCCAATGGGTAGACCAGTTAGGATTGAACACCTTCTAGCTTCTTGGAAAGTCCACATAGGTTGTCGCTGCAATTTTTATCTTAGTCATAAAAATACTCACAAGACCAAATGAATAAAAACACACCATATTAAAAACAGCACAGTAAAGTACCCCAACATATACAAAATGTACATATTTTAATACCTTATTCGTTTGAGTACTTAATTTTGAGTTTTACGATTTTTAGCCCTTGGAATATTCTAAAAAACTTTCTTCAACATCGCCTTTAATTATTCAAAAAATCTATTGTTACACACTTAGGGCTAAACATCGCCTTTCATACACACATATAGGGCTGAGCAAAACCTAAACCGACCCGCAAAATCCGAAGTTTTTTGCGGATAATATCTGATTGGATACGAATATTCGATCCGAAAACCCGAAACCCAAAATTCCGATTAGTATTGCGCCTAGATCGGTTGGCGGGCAGGGTTTGTAAAATCCCAACCTGACCCGCCTGAATATCTGAAATATATTAAATTATGTAGTGTGTACTTTGAATATGTTCGATTAATAATTGTGTTCAATTATTTGTGTAATTATTTGTGCAAATTGTGTTAAATTATTTGTGTAATTTGAATGTGTATTGCACTAGTGTGTACAATTTTTTTCAAAGTGGTATTCCAACACTTTAATTATCCAATTATATGGTGATTTAATATAACCAAAATAACCAAAATATATTAAATTATGTAGTGTGTACTTTGAATATGTTAAATTAATACTTGTGTTCAATTATTTGTGTAATTTGTGTTAAATTATTTGTGTAATTTAAATGTATAATGCACTAGTGTGTATAATTTTTGTCAAAGTGGCATTTCAACACTTTAATTATCCAATTATAATGTGTTCTAATATAACTGAAATATTCGAAACCCGATCCGATATCCGATAATATCCGACTTAAAAATATCCAAAATATCCGATTTAAAATATCAAAGGGTCGGGCCTAGTATTTAAATTAAAAATCCCGAACGGGTTAAGGGTCCATAGACTCGACCCGCCCGAACCCGACCCGTGCTCAGCCCTACACACATACACATTTTTCATCATAGACGATTCTTCCGCTCCCTTTCCCTTCATCTCTACAACCGTCGACTCTGTGCCACCACTCACCACAGATGAGTCGTCCCTGCCAACCCCGCTCATCAACCTAGCGGCGTTCGTCCCCCAACCCGGCGTCGTTTTACCCCCAACTCGGAGTTCGAAGAATAGGTGTTGTGCATCCTGCAACCGGCGGTGCAACCAGTGTTCTTCACCAGTCCGTCGTCCCGTGCAACCGACGCTGCTTAATCCCCCCCCCACGGCGTAGAATCAATTGACAAAGAATGGCGCGAACCCCATTTTTATAAGATTGCAATTGATGGTTCACCGAACTAGGGGGTAGCCGGAATCCGAGTAAAGTAAGAGAGAAGAGCTGATCGGAAAGTTCAGGTGAATATTTTAGCAGAGTAACAACAAAAGAGTACAAATTGCGATCCATTTCCACAAGTTGGAAGGTGATATTTATACTGAAAAGGCAATATTTGGTGCCCAAGTAAAAAAGATGTTGATCTAATGGGGAGAGGACACGTGTCCAATCTGTTCTAACAAACTAACAATCTAAGTTGACATGGTGCAACCACGAGTAAAGGTGATTGGAGAGATAGTCTGGGACAGCTGGATGATTGGAACTGCCCCTAACAAACTGCTACCCGAATACTCGTGTGGCTACACGTGTGCAATCAGGAACATTCCTCCTGCCCGCTGCTAGGAGTGATGTGGCCTCCTTGGGAGGCAGTGATGATGTGGCAGTGTTCTCCTGTGATGATTGTTCCCACGTATTTGTCTAAGTCCACATTGCTTCAATCAGGCCTCGAGCTCACTAAGGTCAGTACTTGGGTGCTCGGGCTCCTCGCTGGTGAATGCGTCTGTTGCTCTCAGTTCTATCTTTGAGGCTGTTGACTCCTTCGTTTGACTTCTGTTAACCTTGCGTTGACGCCCGAGGTCATAGTTGGTGCCGAGCTCGGTCCATCCGAGGTCGGGCTCATAACTTGCAATGTTTGAGCGGTTCCTGAGCTTGATATTTTCCTGACCTCGGGAGGTCGAGGTCGGGGTCGCCTGGTCTTCGGCCTTTAGTTGCTTCATTGTCTGGCGCTTTGTCCCGACCCTGGAGGGTCGGGGTCGGGGTCAATCCAGTCGTGGACTTGGTATCTTTGTGCACTCCGGGATGGGTCCGTGATGCTCATACTAGCGATTATGATACCTTTTGGGTATATGGGAATATACTCCATCATAAGTCCCCCACTCTCCGAATTGAAAGTAACACTTGAGGTGAGAGAGAGTATCTTCTTGGCTGGCGCGCCCGATGGGGGTGCTGCTCTCCTTGGTCATGACAAAGGGGTACCTCATTAAAAACTCCGATGAAGAAAAACCCTCTGGGAAAAAATCCTAACGGAGGAAAAAGAGTATACTCCGCTTTGCCATCTAGAGAATGGAATTGTTGTGCTTATGGGGGGCATAGTTCACTGTTGGGCGCCCCGGGGCGTTTTGGAATTGCTGGCATGTGTTGCAAGTGAATGCCATCCAGGCACAGTGTTTCGCCATGGTTGGCCAGAAATACCCCTGCAATAGGAGCTTTCTGGACATAGTGTGGAGGCCCTGATGAGCGGAGCAGACCCCGGTGTGTACTTCCTCCATTGCCAGTTTGGCCTCATTCTCATGTAGGCAGCGTAGTAGCGTACCGTTGTGAGATCGTTTATAGAGTGTGCCATCCAAGAGAGTAGTGTAGCTCGGAGCTTAACCAGCCTGGCCTCGGACTCACTCTCGGGCAATTGTCCGTTATCAATGTATTCTTTGAGGTCAGAGATCCAATCCTTCGGGATGGTCTGGACCTGGTGGATCAAGCTGTGCTGGATGCTGGGCGTCGATAGTTCTTCCACCTGATCTATCTTGGAGATATACTCAGGTGATGACATGGACTGCGTGATCTTGGAAGTAATGAGCAAGGCACTTCACAGTCCACACCACCGCAAGAACCGTCTTCTCTACTGGGGAGTACTGGAGCTCGACATCGCGCAAAGTTTTGCTGATATAGTAGATGGGTTTTTGAGCTCCATCTTCCTTGCGAATTAGGACCGAGCTCACGACCCCATGGCTAACGCCAAAGTAGAGGTATAGTGTTTCCCCTGCTCCGGTTTTGATATTACGGGAGGGGAAACCAGGTAGTGTTTGAGGTCGTCGAATGCCTTCTCGCACTACGGAGTCCATTGGAACTTCGCAGATTTGCGCATGATCTGGAAGAATGGCAGTGCGCGCTCAGCCGATTTTTATAAGAACCGGTTGAGGGCTGCCAGTTTCCCGGTTACCCTCTGGACTTCTTTGACATTTCGGGGTGGCTCCATATTGAGTATGGCCTACACTTTCCCAGGATTTGGTTCAATTCCACGCTGGCTAATCACGTAGCCCAGGAATCCCCCCCCCCCCCCCCCGAACTGCGAATGTGCACTTCTTGAGGTTCAGGCGGAGGTTGATTTTGTCCATGATTTTGAAGATTTCTTCCAAATCCTCGGCATGTGTGCTGGCTTTGTGGCTTTTGACTATCATGTCATCCACGTATGCTTCCATTGTTCTGCCGAGCACAGCCTTGAAGACTCTGGCCACCATGCGGGTGTAGGTGGCGGCTGAGTTCTTGAGCCCGAACGCCATGACCAGGTAGCAGAAAATACCCTCTGGTGTCATGAATGTCGTTTTCTGGGCATCAGACTCATGCATGAAAATCTGGTGATAGCCCCGGAAGGTGTCCAGAAAGCTCATGAGCTCGCAGCCGGCTGTTTCATCGATGAGTTGATCGATTTTCGGTAGTGGAAATGGATCCATCGGGCAAGCCTTATTGAGGTAGGTATAATCGACAGACATGCGGAATGTTGGTGGCTTGGGTGTCAGGACAACATTCGTGAGCGAATCCGGGTACTCGACTTTAGCGATGTGGTTTATGCTGAGGAGCATAGTCACCTCGGCCTTGATGAATTCCCGCCTATCCGTAGACAAGTACCGCTTGTGCTGTTTGACAGGCACCGCGTTTGGATACACGGTCATCTTGTGCGTGATTATGTCACAACTTAACCCTGACCACTCTTCAAGGCCTAAGGCAAAAATGACTTTGTATTTAACAAGAACAGAGATGATTGCTTGTCTCAGTCCCGGCTTCAGATTTGTCCCAATCTGAACAGCTTTTTCTGGACTGGCCTGGTCCAGGATAACTGTTCCCAGTGTGTCCACGGGCCCGGCCCGGCTCTTGGAGTTTCCTCCTCTTTGAGTGCAGCCTGGGAAATAGTGTTGATGCGCATGTCCCTATCATCCATTCGCTTTGTCATCTTCATGTAACATGATCAGGCTATTTTATGGCTTCCTCTGCAGTAGCCGATCCCGAACTCAGTATGGAATTTCATGCAGAGCTGCCGCATTGAGATGACGGCCTCCAAGTCCTCCAGGGCCGGTCTATCCAAAATGATGCTATGGGGACACTCGAGTCGCACCACCACGAACTCCACAGGGATCCTAGAGTGATGAGATCCATCCCCAAATCTAAGGGTCAGCTCGATAGTGCTCTCGGCGTCTATAGAGTCACTGGTAAATCCGGAGAGGGGAGTTCGGATGGGCCTCAGAGAGTTGAGGTGGAGGTCCAGCTCGTGGAATGTCTGGATATACATGATGTTGACGGAAGAGCCAGTGTCAACGTAGGCGCGGTGGATGATGGTCGTGTCCACCTCGCATTTCACTACCAGAGCATCCCTATGAGGAGAGGGGAAGTCCGGCAGGTCTCGGTCGGTGAACGAGATTACATCCGACC